CTTTGGATGAAGAGATCATTGCACTTGGGATGCTGCTGGTTTGTGTTGGCCACGAACCCGAGATCCAGCAGCAGAAGTGGGAGATTGCACAACCCGAGGCAGTCGGCCATCCCCAGTGCTGGCAGGAGCTCTTCTGGGACAGCAGCAAGCCCTTCCAAACACAGCAAAAACAGCATCTTTAGAGGAAGTCAAGAAGAGGTCAGGGAGAATAATTCAAGAGTTTGTGTTTTCCTTCCTTTCTTGTGAAGCCCTGGATGCAAAGGACATATCTCCTTTGGAAAAATGCTATGGTTCTTTACCACTTCTAGAAGGAAACCTGATCACAGACCAACTTCTCCCAGAAAAACCCTCTGACCTGATCCCCTCTGGAGTTTGAGACGTACTGGTGCCCAGGCAAACGCATGGTTTGAGCTCCCCTGGCATTACTGAGAGCAGCTCCCATCTTCCTGCTCCTCACGCTGAAGCATTTCACAGGCGGCGAATGAGCTGCTCCAGGAGGGATGGAGACCACCTCCCCTCCATCCACAGCACTGCAAAGAACTCGGCTGCTACATGGCATCTTCCAGTCCCCAGATGGGTTAAAATAAGCTAACTGCCGTGCTTTAACCTGGTGAACAGCTAAACACCATGCAGCCACTTGCTTGCTCCTCCCCTTCCCCCGTGGGACAGGGGAGAGAATGGGGAGAGTGAAAGTAAAGAACTCATCTAGTTGAGATAAAGACTATTTAAGAATTAAAGTAAACCAAACTGAAATCATAATGTCAATGAACTGTGCTAAGAATAAGAACAACAATTATAAAGTGATCAAAGTTATTCTCAGCTCATAAACAGCAGCCACTGGTCGTATGGCAACAACAACACGACCAGGGATGGGTGAGCCTCAGGAATGGAGACAGGCATCAGCATGAAGAGGAAGGAAAGAAAGGGAAGGGGTCAAAGAAGAGATTGAAGTGAGTCATTTGCAGCAAAATCCTCTATGAGTGTAACACTTATAGGATAGAATACACCTTTATTGGGCTGCTTGTATCATACCTAGGTCATCTTTCCTGGGTCACCTGTCCCAGAGAATCCCAGGGTTTTGCTTCCTCCCCTCATCCTCTTGTGCAGAGAGAAGGGAAAAAAAAACCCAAAAACACAAAAGAAACTATAAACACAAGTGCAGGCAAAAGACTGAAAAACAAACCTTGAGAAAATAGAAACATCTCACATTATCAACATCCCTCTTAGCATAAATCCAAAACAAAGTCTCACCAAAAACTCTGTCCCAGGAAAACCAGGTCACTGACCAACCCCAAACCATCGCATGCCCTAAGGAGATGGACCCCTCATCCCACTGCAGAACAGGTTGGATATTCTTGGGTCCCTGCAGAGCTGCTGCCCTTGGCTTTTATCTCTGCTCAAAGCCACAGGGTGCTGCTCTTGCCAGATGTTTTCCCAGTTGCTGGACAGAGCAGGGCATTGCTGGAAAAGCAGAGATTTAGACTGAATATTAGGAAGAAATTTCTCCCTGTGAGAGTGTTGAGGTCCTGGCCCAGGCTGCCCAGAGAAGCTGTGGGTGCCCCCTCTTCCTGGCAGTGCCCAAGGCCAGGTTGGACGGGGCTTGGAGCAGTCTGGGCTGGTGGAGGTGGCCCCGCTCATGGCAGGGGGGTTGGACTGGGAGGGCTTTGAGATCCCTTCCAACCCAAACCATGCTGCATTTCCATGATTGGTCCATCTCTGTGTGTTTTGCAGCCAACATCTTGTTCTGATCCAGGGCTGAAGTGGGGTCATCACCAAACTGGACTGCTCTGTAAGCAGAGGGACTATTTACAGTGCAAAAAGGGGAAAAGAGTGTGGTCAGGCCTCCTCAGGTCCTTGAGAGCTGGAGCACTGGGGTATGGGTACCACCACCGAAAGAAATGTGCTGGCATTGTGCAAAGTAGGATGCAACCAGGACCTTCCCCGTTCCTGGATCACATTGGGCTGCACAGTGTGTGGAGTCAGAAAATGCCACCCAGCCAAAAAAAAAGCTTTCCCAGAGTCAGCTTTGCTAAAACTCAACGTTCCTGCAAGAAAGAATGGCTACATCCAAGCACTGTTTCCTGAATACATGAGTTTAGAGGGAAATGTTAATTCCAGATTCATTTTTTCCAGGCATGCATAACACACAGCCCAACGAGTATCCACATGGATATCCTTCATGGCATGTCGGCTGTGGACCAGAAGCTGTCCATCCCTGCCCCAGAGCACAGGAGGTTAAAATGGGTTTGGAACCTGGGAATTTGGGCAGACTAAAGCACTAAAAAGAGCAATGACCTTGCAAGGGATTTGCAGCAGCTTGGTGACAGTGCCGGGCAAGAACCCCAGCTCTTTTGGCTCCAGATGATACTGTTGGCCATCAGATCATGGCACAGCTGGTGATCTGCCAGGAAAAGAAGGAACAGTCTCATGGACTTTAGATCTGGTGGAGTGATAAATGGCTCTGTTTGCCTTTGGCTGCACGCATGATGCTGCATTTTTGTCCTGCAGCAAAAAAAAAGTATCACTTGTTTACATTTCTGTATCTGATCAAGGCGTCTGGGTCCTGAACTCGTATGGTTTGGAAAGACGGCCTTCGCGCCTGCAAGGAGAGACCTTTACCAACATCAGCATGACCCCTGTAAACAGAGGGGGAGATTTCCCTGAGGACCGACCTCTGCAGCGCATCAGCTCTGCTCTGCTCGAGAAGCACAGGGCATGAACGCCTACAGCATCCCCAAGCTACCAGGGGTCATATGGACATGCACGCTAACATGCATTGCTCCTATCCCAAGGGATCTCAGCTGAGCTTTCATCTAAATCCTTCCTAGCCTGCTTCTTCCAGCAAAAGGAGGGAGAAGCAGCAGGCAGCGGTGTCGTTAAGAATGGAGGCAATACACTAAAATCAAATTATGCCTGCTTATGGGCTCCTGGGAAACAAACTTCCCAACTTAGAGCATCCCTTTCCACCCTCTCAAAGGACAGGCTGTATTTGTGATAAACCTAATGTGGGCTTGAAAGAGAGCTGTGACACCAAGAGCCATGATTCAAGCCTTCTCCATTCAAATCCATGGCTGCAAGCCCAGTTTTGGTTGAGTCCCAAAGGCTGAGTCCATACTTGTAAAGGAAACAGGCTGGGGGCCAGTGGGTACGTAATAACCTGCATCCACACTACCAAACTCACTAAGACTTCAATATACAGCAGTTTCACCCAAAATACTTGCTGGGAATGGTCTTCAGTCCTCAGCTTCCCAGTTTTTTGAGGGGAAATTAGTAGCTGGTCCAGGACCAAGTCATGGCATAAGTGATAATCACAGAATCATTTGGTTGGAAAAGACCTTGAAGATCATCAAGTCCAACCATAACCTGTCCACTACTAAAACACATGTCTAAACTACTAAACCACATCTCTAAACTACTAAACCATGTCTCTGTACTATTAAACCCTGTCTCTAAACGACTAAATCATCTCTCTAAAACGCAGAGTCACAGCCAGATGAGCTGTAATACTGAGGTCTGCTTGGGGTCTCAGTATGCAAAAGGTCCCCTCCATCCCTGGAGGACCTGATCTGGGCACCAATATCAGTGTGCCCAGCCGTGCTCTCCTGGGCTGTGCTGAGGTGAAGGTGCAGGACAGGCTCAGTCCTGCCTTCAAGACATGTCCAGGAACACTGGGAAGAGCTAAAGCCTGGGTCAGTGCAAGGGTATGAGGATGCTGTTGGTGGCAGGACATCATGAGAGGGTTTGCACCAGCTTAAGCAAAACCAGCTGTGGAGGACAAGGCTAATGCCAGGAGCTGGTGGGGTGGTTAAAGACAGCCCAGCAATGAACCATGTTTCACCAAGAGTGGGTGAAAGAGCTGCAAAGGCACCCAAACACAGTGCAAACAGGATGAAAGGAAGGGAAGGAAATCCCCACGGGCTGCCTGGCAAAGCTTCCCAAGATCAAGTTTTCCACAGCCATTTTTACTTAAATACTGCAATCCCTTTTCTTCTTTTTACAAATGACTGCTTGCAACCAAACACATTAGAGGGGCCAACACCTAACATTTCTGCACTGCTTGAAAGAACAAAGACCAAGAGATCTATAAAAACCTGGTAACGGCACTGGTTGCTGCACAGTTTTTAGGCAGTAGTCAGAACTGTACCCCAGAGCAAGCAGGGGAACATTTAGAAAGCCAAAATCAAGATGGAAATGGATGAGGAGGAAGAAACAAACAGGAATGTGAAGACCATTGCCTGCATTTTCTCCAACTTTTGCAGTAAGTCAGCTAGTTCTGGGAAAACATCACAGAAAAAAAAACCTCAGCAGGATCTGCCAGGCTTTCTGTGCCTCCCATTTCTCATGGTGGTGGTTTACTCTCCTAAAGGTAACAAAGTGGGAGGTCTTGCAATTGAAGTTTTGCAAGACCAAGTCTTTTTCAGGGAGTCATTGCGGGCAGCCAGCCTAACCACAGAGCAATTTTAGGCTGGGGAATATTTTAATGAGTGAGGAATAGAGAGCTGGTAATTGCTAGTGTGTGATTTCCAGTTTGCCCCATTGCAGCAGCGAGGATGGTGGCGGGTGGTCGTGCCCCAGCAGTGTGTCCATCACGGGGCTCCTCTGGGACCTCCCATGATATGTGGCATACGGCTGACCATAGGCAGACCCAGATGCTACCCTGAGACTTTCTCAGCTGGGTCTGGGAGACAACCCATGCCGATGTATATCCTTTGCATCACCTTTCTGTGCCATCTAGG